ACGCCACCGCCTTTTCTAACGTGTTTTCCTCATGGTGAATCGGATGACTCCCTCGAAAAAGGTGTTGTTGGCAGCAGCCCCGCTGAGTGTTTGTCCGTGGTGGGCCGCTACTCGCTGGACGACACCATCGCCTTTTCTAACCTTTTTTTCCTTGCGGTGAATCGGATGATTCCCTCGAAAAAGGCAATGTTAGCAGCAGCTCCGCTGAGTGTTTTCTCCGTGGAGGGCTGCTACGCGTGGGACGACGCCACCGCCTTTCTTTGACGCAGAGTCACGCAGTGAATCGGATGACTCCTTTGAGAAAGGCGATGCTGGAAACAACCTCGCTGCCCCTTCCCTCCTGGAGCGCGTAGTGACGGAAGAAGAGCGGTCGAACGGATGCTCAGCCACCTCGGGTCTTCCCACGTCGGCGACCACACCGCTCCCAGCCGTCAGCACCCTCATCTCGGAGCTACCCGGCATAATCCAGGAGGTTACTAACACAAAGGGACTTTCTGTGCCTCGCCTCCCTCCGCCCTGATCGGATGATCTGGTGGGAAGGTTTGGATCCGCCACGGCTCGTCGCCCTGATCCCATCTGGCCTCGCTGTCCAGCTGTGACCTCACATTGGAACGAGGCTGCAGCTGGGCCCGGCAAGCTGAAGACATCCATCTCCACCTTTGCCTCCATCTCCAGAGTGGAGAGTTTTTACCGATCAGTTGTTTTTTTCCCTAGGTTCTTCCTCCTGGAGCCAAGCCTGGTGGAGGAACTTGGGGCAAAAGCTTCCAGGTTGGACCGGCAACCTATCCCTCCAGGAAAGCATGACCAGAGGGTGACAAAGCTCTCCAACCGAGTTCACCAGTGCACATCCCAGGTGGTCAAGGCGAACAACAACATCGCTCTGCTGGCCTACAGCATCTCAAAGAGGTTGGAGGAAGCAGATCTGCTGGACGAGACAAAGAGCTCTCTCTGTAAAGCCGCTTATGTCATCTTAAACATGTGCGCCACCCTCTGCGGTCTGCCTGTCCCGCATCGCTGCCCGGATGACCATGATCCAGAGGACCACCTGGCTCCGCCTCTCGCCATAATGTCCGAGAGGCTGCAGAAAGACCTGCTAGAGGGCCCCTTCACCCCAGAGGTGCTGTTCAGGGTCAACTTCAGGACCATCCTTGAGAAACCACAGAGGTTCGAGGAGGTCTCAGAGACTGTACACCATCTGGTGACGTCACAGTCCTCCTCCCACCCCTCCAGCCACTGGAAGGACCGTCTTGGCCAGCAATAGCAGCAGAGGTGTCCACAGCTGCAGCAGTGACTTCGCGCTCCGCTCCTCCGCCGGCCCCCTTCACTAGGTAACAGATCTTTGAGGGGAATGTATGTGTTATTTTTTTTGATGATGTATGTTTTGAAATAAAACAGAAACACCTCTGAAAGTAAAGTTTTCATCTGAGACTGTCAAATCAGCTGATCTCACATCTGCCTCTCTTCACACATTCCCTACAAAGAATGAGCCGGTAACCTCTGAACAGTGTTTTAAATGGCACAGTAGTTAAGTAAATATCACAAAACACTCGTCTGCCACGTCAGCTAAAATGATGTTTTTTTTCAGCAGACCGAGTCAGGTAAAATCCTTTGTTTACAGCCAGAGCCCATTTTTAATTTCTGCTGTTTTCTGCATACTCCCAGCACAGAGGGAGTAAATGTGTTTCTCTACGACAGCTGCAGCCTCCACCGAAACAGCGTCTCACTCAGAAAGTGCTCACGACTCCTCTCAGTGCGCGCCGGCTCACCTCAGCTCTAATGTGAGACTGCAACCTGGGGCTCAGCACAGAGGCACACATACAGCCCTTTTTTCTGTTGGAGCACCCCTTGGGTTCCCCACTGAGAATCTCCGGAGCGAATGATGGCAGTAAGGCTTTTTAGTCTAGTTGACGTTTTTGGGAAACATGACACAACACAAAAGCATGCCCGCTCTCCAAGCGTTACTCAGAGTGGCAGCGAGTGTGTTCCCTGGACAGATGGATGGACCATCTGATCAGAAGGGGTCACACGCTGCTGCTCGAAGCTCAACCCCCACCGTTCAGAGGGATTATAGAGACGGTTCTTCTTTTCCAGAACAGAGCTCATCTCTCCAGTCAGAAGTTCAGGAATTTCTGACAAAAAATGTGATTTCCAGAGTTCCCAACGAAGAGGAAAATATGGTTTTTTTTCCTCCCACTACTTCCTGGTTCTGATAAAAAAACGGAGGAATGAGACCCATTCTCGACCTGTTCATGTTCAGCAATTAGATCATGGGGAGACAATTCCACATGCTGACAAACATCTGCTGGAGAACTTCACCAGAACGACTGGTTTTCACCTCCATAGATCTGAAGAGCGCATATTTCACATTTCCATCATTCTGAAACACCCCACGCACGTTCTCAAAATGCGTGAAGACGGCTCTGCAGTCGTTACACATGGCAGGAATGAGAAGTCATTTTATCTGGACAATCTGCACTTATTAGCTCGGTCCAGTTAGAAAGCAGTTGCACAGACCAAAACGCTAGTGTTACACCTGCTAAACCTGGGGTTTTCTATAAACTGGGAAAAAGTTCAGTTTGTCCGTCCCAGATGATTGTTTGTCTGGAAGTGGAGCAAACTCAACTACAATGAGAGCCCGTTTATCACAGCTGAGAGCTGAAGCTCTGTCAGCTCAGCTCTGCCGTGTCAAACCCTGCAGCATAGTGACAGTTTGCCTGTCATGCGATACCTGGGACGATGTCAGCGGCCCACTTTGTGGTTCTGCTGGGCCTACTTCACGTGAGACGCTGTCAGAGATGGTTCGCCCGCCTGCGCATAGATTCTGTGCGCCAGTAGAGGCGGATTATCTTTGTGCCCCCCTCCGTGAGAACCGATCTGAATCACTGGGGAAACCCTCTCATTCTGTCAGAGGGAGTTCCCATCAGCAGGCCTACGTCACACGTCTCAGTTTTCACAGACATGTTCCTGTTGTAGTGAGTCACGTGAGGTACGTGTCACTTGTTGTATGACAAATATATGAATTATATATGCATACAATATTCACGAGTTCTTCATTTTTCTGACTGTAAATGCCGTGCATTGAATTTAACAGAAATGTGAACGAGAGACGTTATTTATCTTTGACCCATCAAATGAATGGAATCATTTATTTTCAAAATCAAAGTTTAACATCAAACATTTACATTAATTTGGCAAAATATGAAAATAATAACAGACAGTTTCACAGAAAATGAACTTCAAATCACTCGGCGGTGATTTGAGGACTTTGCTTCAGACATTTCTAAAAATATCTGTACTGATTTATGAGAGAGAAGAGTTTAAGATTAAATTGAGATTTATCTTACAGAGGAAATGTGTGAGGGAATTTAATCTGTTTGACCAGAAGTTGCACGCTCCGTCCGATCTCAGCTTCTCACGGTACACTTGGTCAAAATAGAACCATCTACCTGTTGATGATGAATCAGCGTTGGATGTAGTTCCTTTCTGACTCGTTTCAGCGTCTCCGTCGAGAGCTACCAAACCTTCAGAAAGTCGTGCGTTGATTAGCTCAAAACAGAATTATAATCCCCAAAAAAACCTCTGGATTCTTCATTGCTCTGAAGCTTTCAGAACCGACTGCATTCTCAATCTTGGAACTCTCACATTCTCCAGAACTCTCAATCTGTTGTCAGCTCTCATTCTCTTGGAATTCTGAAAATCTAACATGAACTGGGCAGTTGTCACATTTTAAATGAGTTTACTTCCTGTTCAGTTTAGAGCTTTCTGATTCGTGGAAGGACCAGAAAGAGGTGTGTTTTTGACGTAAGGTGTTTATCAACAGTCGAGGTCAGAGAATGAAACTTGTTTAACATACAGAAAAGATTATTGCAGAAGCAGCAGACTTTCTGGAGTCTACTCTTGGTAATCTTCTGAAAAAGTTTAAACATGACATTTCTTCTTCAGTAAACATTTTAGTTGACCGAAGACCAACCTTTCACACACTTACGACAGCTTGCTCATTTCAGACAGAAAATCAAGGAATGCTTATTCAGGTGATTTCTTCTCTGAATGAGGGATAAAAATCATTACTTACTGTTTATGTAAAATAAAAATGAGTAGTTCTTTTCAACCTGTGAAGCATTGAGTGAACTAACACAATTTGATTATCAAAACATTTGTAAGACAGTAATGATTATAGAGGATTGTCTTTTCTGCTTGATTAATTCAAGAAAGAAAGTTCATCAGATGGCCCAGACTTATTCAGATCAATGAAAATAACAGTCTCTGTCCATCTGGTAGATTTGAGGTCATCTGGTTCACTACACTGTCAAGCTGGGAGGAATGTGTCTGTCCCAGGCAGTGGGAGCACAGTGGCTGGACCACATGTCGCTTTACATAATGTGCTAGAATGTTTCACGGTCTGAAACGTGACTCAGCATTTGCCCCCCTGCTGCGGGATCCGCTTGTTCTGATCCACACAGACAACAAAGTGATGGCAGCTTACATAAACTGTTAAGGATGCGTGTGCTCAGCCTAACTGTTACGCATCGCGAAACAGCTGTTGTGTTGGGCACACAAAAACCTGTTCTCCACCAGAGCAGTGTACATTCCCAGCGTCCTAAACAGGGGAGCGGATATCATGTCGAGGGGCAGTCCCCGCCACGGAGACTGGAGCCCCCATCCCGAGCTGATCGCTCAGATTTGGAGCAGGTTCGGCTGAGCAGCAGTGGATCTGTCCGCCACACGGGAGAACGCCCAGTGTCATTTATGGTTCTCACTGAGCCCACGAGACAACCCACTGTTAGGAGTGGACGCCTTCGCTCACAGCCCGTGGCTAAAAAATGCTCCTTTATGTGTTTATAGCAAAGTGGACAGCTTTTCAACGCTGGTGCATGGAGAAAGATGTAGAGGCCATCTCATGTCCACTAGGTGGCATGCTGTCCTTTCTGCAGCAGCTGATGGACAGAAATCTAGCGTTCAGCACAATTAAGACTTATGCTGCAGCTATTTCTTCCTGTCACGAGGGCTTCGGTGACAGAACAGTTTTTAATCACCCGTTGATGAAGCGTTCCCTGAAAGGTGTACAGAAACACAGGCCGGTGTCACGTCCACTGGCTCCACAGTGAGACCTAATGATGGTCCTGCACGCTCTGATCAAAGCTCCTTCTGAGCCTTTAGATCAGGTTTTACTTAAATTTCTGTCATTTAAAACAGCCCTGCTGTTAGCTCTGACGTCGGCAAAGAGAGTGAGTGATTGTCTGCTCTCTCTGTTGCTCCCTCATGTCTCAGTATTCAAGCTGACGGCAGTTCAGCTGTACTGTGTTTTAACCCTGCTCTGAAAAGCATCACAAGCTCATTCAAATCTAGAGTGATAACCTTGGATGGGTTTTATCCTCTTCCTCATAATTCTGAGGAGGAAGCAACATCTCACATTGTGTCCCATGTGCGCATTTTCATGTTACGTGGCGCACACGGCCGCAATGCGCCGCTTTCAGCGTCTGTTTGTGCATTACTGGGACAGCTCTTCAGGACGTCCTCTATCCACCCAGCGCCTCTCACACTGTCGTGTGAGGCTATTTCTGAAGTTTACAGTTCATCTGGACTGGATCCTCCAGAGAATCTCAGCGTATTCCACCAGAGGGTTTTCATCCTCCATGGCTCTGCATGGAGGGATGACAGTGAATGATATTTGTATGGTGGCTGCCTGGTCGTCGCCATGTTCAATTATTTGTTTTTATCTATGTGATGTTTCTACTTTCTCCATGACCCATTCTGTTCTCAGGGTTCTGACAGAATGATTATTTGTTTCATGGAGCCTCATTTTGAGCTCACACCTGCCTGCATGCAGTCGCAGTGTGAGATATTTATTATCAGTCACAAGTTCATGACTACTGATTTTATTGTTATTAACTGGTTCATCCTGAGGAGCTGTTGGTCTGCTCTGTTCATCGTTACACTGTTACAATTCGTAATCTCCGTTGTTCCTATTCACAGTAGCAGGTCTGCTATCTAAGCCTTTTTTCCTCACCAGAGACCTTTCTCCGGTGCGCTCCTACGCATGGAGCATGCAATTACGCAGCGCGTAATTATGCACACAGAAGGCTGAGTGATGATTTTTTTTTTTTTTTTTTTTTTTTTTGTGCAAGCAGGTGCTTCATGTTGTGTCTTAATGAACCCAGTGAGGCTTAGACTACATCCTGCTTCGCCTTTAACCCACTAGCGACAGCCTTAAAGGGCGAAGCCTATACGAAATAGAACGTTGGTTACATACTGTAACCCCAGATTCTATGAGTATAGACGTAGCCCTTTAAGCTCTGGGCCTCACTGGTTCCTAAATGGCTGAAGAAAAAAAGCTATTCGGGAGCTGATTACCCGGTCTCACCGTAATTTATACGGACCGGGGATGAGGCCCACACAGCAGGTGGATGTGGACTAAAGCCCCCAGTATACTGCCGCGTACATCCATAAGCAGAGGTACGCACGTACGTACGCAGAGGTACGTGCGTACCCCCCAGAGTACCCTCCGTGCAAAGCTCAAATTTTTATAAGTGCATACGCGTACGCGGTGTCGCACAATAAACTGCCCAGTGACGGTCTGTTTTGTATGCAACACCAATGTATTAAATTCCCCTTCTTCATCCCTGATCTGGCCTTTTCTTTTGTTTTTTTTGCCAAGAGGCAGTGATCTCTTCCTCCTCCGTTGATGCCATGACTGAAATGGTGAGAAATAGAGGAATTTGTCACGAGCGAATTAAACTCAGGTCCAGCATGGCTGCAGGACGGTCTGGAGATTTCCTGGTGGGCTGGTCTGATGTGTAGGCTGTAGAGCCAGCGCTCTCTGTTTTTTTAAATTTTTTAGATCTTTTTATTAACAACATATAAACACAGAACACCGCTGCGGCGGAGGCTGCCAGCACTCGCTTTGTTTTCTTTTTTCCGACCTGTCAATCAGTCCAGTAGGCGTGTCAGCAAATGACCAATCGGCGACCCCAACTTGTCCCGAAGGTAAATGCCCCTTGTCTGTGAAGCTGCTCTGCAGCTGCTCGGGGTGTACGCTGGAGTATCACGTCTGAACCCTCTGCGTACCGTACATGCGTACGTACGCGTGAACTGACGTACGCGGCAGTATACTGGAGCCTTAAAGTTTTCAGTGCTGCGCTGCGCGAAGGGATAAACCCACTAGCGACAGCCTTAAAGGGCTGCGCTTATACTCATAGAATCTGGGGTTACAGTACGTAACCAAAGGTTTTGGTTGTCAGCAGCAAAGTGGTTGAGCCACTCTGAGAAGGTGATATTTATAAGACTGAGTTTGTTGCAGCTCCTCATACTGAAGAAGTCCTTTGGATAAAAGATGAAACGTCTGAACAAAAAGAATCCGCAAAGAGGACCTGACTCAACTTTGTTACGATTCATCTGCCTGGATTACTGAGCAGAATCAGGATATTACAACAACAAACTCCAAAGTATTTACAGTATTTACACTCTTTCACTGGGATTTTAAGTGTTGGAGCAACACAAAGAAGAGCATTAAGGTGAAGAGATCAGAAGATGATACATAGATTAAAATACTTAAATAAGTGTGGGCTGTATTTACATTTTTTTTACCTGCAGTTACATCTGCAGATGTTTGCTTCATACATTTACAGACCAAACAAGGAAATAATTCAAATTCAGTCTGATTGGGTGGAAAGAGAAATTACTTTTTCAGTGCTCTTGTCTGTGGTTTTGTTTAGTCTTTAAATCTGCAGTTTAAAACGAGCTGTCCTGCTAATGACCAATAACGTGACTCAAAGGTGTGACAACATTTTATTACTTTTATGTTCTAATGAGCTGAAGATCATAAAATAAATGACTCTTTTGTAATTACTGTTCTTTTACATGTAAAACACTCACATCTCTGACTTGGGGACTAAACTCTTCTTCCTCCATTGGTCTTGTGGCATCTGAAAGCAGCTGGAACAACAACATTACATTTAATTCAACAGAAAAAAGGTCATGAAAGAGTCAACCATGTGAGGTAGAGGTTTAATTCTCCTCAGCTGACCAAGAGAAATGTCTTACCATCTCCCAAATGTAGGGGAAGAGTCTGTCTCCAAAATACTCTGTGGCTTCAATGGGGAGCTGAGCAGGAAGGTTGTCAATGGAGCACATGAGGATCCCGTTCCCCTCCACACTGTTCAACACCAACAACAAGACATCAGGGACTTTGGTCAAGGTTTATGGATGTTTTTAACCACTACGGCTAAGAATGTTAACAGCCCATGAACCATGTGTTTGAGTTAGCAGACAGTTCTTTTGTCTCTCAGAGAGGGCTGAACGAGAGCTGATTTGATCTGGCATGTTTGGGAGAGATGATCACTTCCGGCTTGAGTGAATGCTGGTGCACTTGGCTGCCGCTACTCCCAGAGAAAAACTATTTTGTCTTTACTTAAGCCCCCAGTATACTCCCGCGTACGTCAGTCCACAGAGGTCCGCGAGTATCAGATTAGAGCCAAAGCAGACGCCTGCAGGGCATGTCCACGCAAAGCTCAATTTTTACGACCGCGTACGCCTACTCGGTGTCGCACAATAAACTGCCCGGCGACAGACTGTTTTATATGCAACACCAGTGTATTACATCCTGATGCATGCTCAATAATCCAGGTAGAAAAATCTAAAAAAGTTAAATCTGGTCCTCTGGACATTTGAATGTCCAGAGGACCAGATTGAACTTTTTTAGACCAATGTATTACATTCCCCTTCATCATCCCTGATCTGGTCTTTTCTTTAGTTTTTCTTTTTTTTTTTTTTTCCAAGAGGCAAGCGAGCTCTTCCTCCTCTGTTGATGCCATGACTGAAATGGTGAGAAATGAAGGAATTTGTCACAAGATAATTAAAATCAGGTCCAACGTGGCTGCAGAAGGGTCTGGAGATTTCCTGGTGGGTTGGTCTGATGTGTGGGCTGTAAAGCCAGTGCTCCCTGTTTTTATTATTTTTAGAACTTTTTATTAACAACATATAAACACAGAACACAGCTGCGGCTGGAGCTGCCAGCTCTTCTTCTTTTTTTTTTTCCCCGACCTGTCAATCAATCCAGTAGGCGTGTCAGCAAATGACCAATTGGCGACCTCAATTTGTCTTGAAGGTAAACGTCCCTTGCCTGTGAAGCTGCTCTGCAGCCGCTCAGGGTGGACGCTTGAGCATGAAGTCTGAACCCTCTGTGAACAGTGCGTGCAGTTTCCGCGTGGCTGACAGGACGTGGGATTATACAGGAGCCTTTAAGCTATTTGATATCTCTACGCTCTTCACCCAGTTTCTTGTGTTAGGGTTGGACTTCAGTCAATCCCATTCTTCAGGTATTACATCTGATTCCTTCAGTTTGTTGGACTGTAAACTCACTTGTGTGGCGTCCTGCGAAACGCCGCAGGCACCCAGCTGTCAGCTCTTCATCTTTGGATTTTCTGGGTGAGTCCTGGAGCAATAATGTCGATCAACAGGCTTGCCATGTGGCTCACACTCTTCTGGATCATCATATTCTTCATGATCCACCCGGTGACATCGACTTGGCAGTACACGTCAGAAGAACTACTCCGACCACGAGTCTTCACTATTGTACTTCCACCAGCACTCCTGCTTTATCCTTCCATCTTACATCACAACCGAAGGAAATCTATTCATCGCGGATCTCAGCGAAACTTCTTTTATGATGACAGCAAGCCAATACGGTCCTTCTGGTCCTCTCACCTGTGCTCGTCTGTACCATCTGGACAAACCACGGATCGTAGCGTGCTGGCTCACCTGGCCAGGTCAGCTGGCGCACAGCCATCCACCACTTGTCTGTTGTATGGATTATTTAACACTTGTTTACTCTCTAACAAGGGGCCGTTACTGAACAATCTCATCACTGAGTATAAGTTTGATTTCTTCTGTTTAACTGAAACTTGTCAACAACCCAATGATTTTGCTCTACTTAATGAAACTACCCCTCCTGGGTTTGTTTACACCTGCCAACCCCACGAGACTGGTCGTGGTGGAGGTCTCACGATACTTTACAAAAAGAAGGTCAACGTCTCTCCAGTGACTGTACCCAGGTTCAGTTCCTTTGAAAGTGTTGCATTACAGATAAATGGAGCAGTTCCTACTATTTTAGTTGTTGTCTACCGTCCAACTAAGAACAATATAATTTTTTTAAATGAATTTTCTACTTTTTGTCATTTATTTGCTCAAAATCTCCCAATATAAATATATTGTGTTATTTTAATGTTCCAATGGACAACCCCACACATATTTTAACTAAGGATTTTATATCAACCCTGGACAGCTTCGGACTTGTACAATACATTGACTTTCCCACTCACTCCAAAGGTCACATTCTTGACCTAGTTTGTTGTTCTGGTATAGCTCCCTCTCACTGTGTCGCATCAAACCTGCCTATATCTGATCATAAACTGGTCTCTTTTATCTGCTAATCTACAGATTTCTAGATATCAGTCATTTCAAACTATTTCTTCCCGTAATGTCAAGAACATAGATTCTTCTGTACACTCTAACAAACTGGATGTCTCCCTTAATTACAATAATCTATCTTGTCCTAATAGCCTGGTTTCGTACTATAACAGCAGTCTTCAAAGTATTTTTGGATGAACTTCCCCCTGTTAAGACACATACTGTTCACTTCTCTCGCTCTGCTCCCTGGTATACTCAAGAACTCTGCTGTATTAAATCTAAAGGACACCGTTTGGAACAACTCTATAATAGAACAGGACTCATTATTCATAAAAATGTGTATGAAAACCATAAAAAACACTACAAAAATTCTGTCTGCATGGCTAAATCAGCCTACAATGCTAATTTAATTGGCACAAGTAATGGGAACACCAGAACATTGTTTTCTACTATTAACACCATTCTACGACCTCCAGATACTCTGCCATCCCACATGGACACTAGTGATTACTGCAACAAATTGATGGACTTTTTTAATGCTAAAATTGAAACCATCCATCAGGAATTGTCCATGTTGCAATCCACTTCCTCTAGTTTTCTTTCTTATAACCCAATTATGACACCTATCCCCAGTTTTCAACTCCCTTCTCTGTCAGAAGTTTGCAGTCCCATCTCTAAATCCAAATCTTCTACCTGTCAGCTTGATGCATTTCCTACACACTTAGTTAAAGCCTGTCTACCTTCTCTATCTACTCTAATAACTAAGATTATTCATTTATCTTTCTCTTCTGGTTTTGTCCCACCATCACTCAAAACTGTTGCAATAACTCAAATTCTTAAAAAAACAGGTGCTGATCCAAATGACTTAAATAACGTCAGACCAATTTCTAACCTACTGAATAATTTCCAGAATACTTAAAAAACAGTTGCAGCCCAGGTTCACAGTCGTCTTTCTGATAATAATCTGTTTGAAGAACTTCAGTCAGGTTTCCGCCCCCTCCACAGCACCGAGACAGCTTTGATTAAAATCAACAATGATCTCCTGGTTGCTGCCGACTCTGGACTTTGATCAGTTCTCATTCTCCTTGACCTGAGTACAGCATTTGATACCATATCACAAGATATTCTTCTTGATAGATTACGTTCCATTGTTTTTTCTGGCATTGCTATAAAAATTGATTTCAATCTTATCTCTCTGACAGTCAGCACTTTTTCCAACTTAAAAACTTCAAGTCACAGTCCTCCACAGTTACTTCAGGTGTACCGCAGGGTTCTGTTCTTGGTCCTCTCCTATTTATCTTCTTCCACTTGGCCTTATCTTTAAAAAAATTGGTATTAATTTTCACTGCTATGCAGATGACACCCAGCTCTACTTCTCCACCAAGCTCAACACCACCCTTCCACCATCCTTCCTTTAAGACTGCCTCTGTGAAATCAAATTATGGTTTAATCAGAACTGTCTTAAACTGAACTCAAATAAAACAGAATTCCTCCTTGTTGGCACCAAGTCTACCGTATCGAATTGTAATATGTTCACAATTAAAGTTAATTATTCCACAGTTTCTCCCTCCCCTACAGCTAAGAGTCTGGGTGTCATCCTTGACAGCATATTATCTTTTGAATATCATGTCAATAACATTACTCGGTCTGCATATTTTAATTTTCAAAACATCAACCGTCTCCGTTAATTTCTTACCCCCACCAGCACAGCCATCCTTATCAATGCTCTAGTCACCTCTCGATTAGACTACTGTAACTCCCTCCTCTCAGATCTTCCTCTCAAAATCATCCATAAACTTCAGCTTGTTCAAAACACAGCTGCCCGGATCATCACTAGAACTACGTCGAAGGAACACATCAACCCGTCCTTAAACATCTTCACTGGTTACCCATAAAATATCACATCGACTTCAAGATTCTTCTCCTCACGTTAGGGGGTGCTGTGGAGCAGTTTGGCCACGCCCACTTTTGGTTCCATTAAAATAAGGGGACAATTTTTGGTAATGTTTGGTGAGTTTTCAGATATGTTAACCCTTCCAAATTAGCAATTCTTTCGGACCAAGAATCGTAATAATAAGAAACAGAGCAATTACAATAGGCCTTCGCAGCGCTTCGCTGCTCGGGCCTAATAACAATACATTTTATTTTAAAGCGCCTTTCAAAACACTCAAGGTCACCGAACAAGAAATACAAAGATAAAAAACAATAAAATAATAAAATACAGATATCAATAAAATAAAATGCTAATAATGATAAAATACATAATGACATTAAACAGAATAATCAAGTTTGCAAAAGTGAGTTTTAAGGTTAGATTTAAATGAGGTCAGAGAGTCAGAATTTCGGATGTGCTGTGGAAGAGAGTTCCAGAGACGAGGGGCTTTGCGGGAGAAGGCTCTGGATCCCATGGTTGTTAAGAGAGCAGGAGATGTAACAAGAGAGATGGACAGGGAGGAGCGAAGACTTCGGGCAGGTGTGTAATAGCAAAGAAGATCAGTGAGGTACAGAGGTGCCACGTTATGGAGAACTTTGAAATTGAGATAGGACAACTGGTACATCCTAGAGAGCAGAAATTTGGTACATAGGTAGACCTCACTGAACCAAGAAAAAAAGTCTCTTGGAGGTATGCCCTAAACCCAACAGGAAGTTGGCCATTTTGGGTCAAAGGGTCATTTTTGGGCATTTTTCACTTTTCATACATGGCAAATTTTAACAAACCCCTCCTAGGCATTTTGAGAGATTGCCTTC